AATAGAATAATAGGTATTCTTGTATGCAGGATCTATATAATTTTACTCATCTTATTATGGTGTCAACTGGAGGCAGCTAAAAATATTTTTTTTAATATTTCCACCATAACTTTTTCAAGCATGAGATGCTTTGCAGTCCAGTCTAAAAATTAAATAATAAATTAAAAATATGAGTCTTTTACACTGAAATATACATTATGTCCAGTAAGGCTAAACAGACATAAAGATGTTCTCCAGTCATACATTTTTATGTACTTCAGCCATTTTTACAACATAAAGTACAATCTTGGAGGTCCAGGGAAACCTGAACAATATGCATGAGCTTGCAAGTGATCATGACCAGTTAATAGATAAAGATGGGACTACATTAACTTAAGGGAGGTCGTTTTGAGTACCCAAGAAATCCCCCCAGGGCTTACCAGCAGCTATCTGCTTATACATAATTGCTTGATTTTTACAGGTAATTTGTTTAATAGATTTTCGTAATTGAATGGGTTACTGAGGAAGGCTCAAGAGAGATGCTTCCTTTGTAAGTTTATCTATGTTTTAATTTCCAGGCAAACCACTGTGGCTAAAAACAAACTGAAAAACTATTTCTCTATGAAGATAAGAGAGTGTTAATGGGAATATGCATAAATGATCTTGGGTTTCCTAATGAAAACAAGTGCCTGTAAAAGCAGATTAAATATATTTGCTCCAAAGCAAAACAGTCTAAAGAAATATCCTGCTTTCTGGTAGAATGACTGTCATAAAAAAGCCCAAGTTTATTCTATTGCAAAATGATGGAGAAATTCCTATAACAAACCACCAGTGTAAAACAAAGATCAGAAAATACAAAACGGCTACGAAAAGTACATGGAATAATAGCAGTGTTAATAGATGTTATGGTTATGGTAATATATTAAAAATTTAAAAATTCAGACATTCAGTGTCTGAAATAATCTAAGATCCAAATACAAAACGGGAAAGAAAAATGCATGGAATAATAGCAGTGTTAAGAGATGTTATCGTAATATATTACAAAGTCCAAAATCCGGACATTTATTGTCTGGAATGATCTAAGATCCAGACCTGTGAATCTCCAGCAACCTCTTTTGCAGCTTCTATGCTTGTGCATTTGGTATTTTTTCATAATAAAACGGGGAGAGTTCTGATTCTTAATTTTTGTGTGACACTGACATCAACCTTGCAAATCTTTTCTCCCCCCACACACACTCCCCATCAACCATGTGGCTATCATCATACCTCCAAGCTTGAGAAATTTCCCATTCAGTGATATCTAAACGATTTAATTTTTAATACTAGTAATTGAAAAGAACATTGTATGCTTCTGTGTTTACATTACACTTGGAGGTGATTACAGACTTCAGCTAAATATGTGTGAAGTATTAGCTGAAAGTGAGTGCATTATTGAGTGCATTAATGAGGAAAAGTTATTTTCCGTATGCAATGGAATTTGTGAAGAAATGTAGAGAAATAATTTTAAATGAAGATGATATAACAAAAGTTTTTCATTTGCAGTGACAATGCCCCAATTATCAATCAAGTTATGGACTGCAAAATCTGTAGTTTGGTTCTAAATCCAGAGAGGTTGTTGGGAACGAAAAAATTTTGAGTGACAATTTAGTGAGAATTCTGAACATGGCAGGAACAGGAGTTAAGCGATGGAACTTTGTAACGGAACAAGAAACTGTGTCTGTCTGTAGAATTAAAGAGAAAATATTGGCACAAACGAAGCGAATTAAACAACTTACACGGAAAGAAATCTTTAATAAAGCAAATAAATAAATATTGAACTTTTTTTAATTTTGATTTTGTTAAGGTCATAAATGCCCCATTATTTCATAAATCACTATTTCATGCTTTTAATTTTATAATTTCATCTCTCATCTTACTAAATTTACACTGATGATCTAATATCTGGAAAAATGCCAAAACAGAATCACTGAAGTCCTGATAAGTCTAGGTCTCATACTTTGTACTGAGAGTTGTTTTTATCCAGCAGCAGTATGTAATTTTATAGTACGTAATCCAAATAAAAAATATTGTTTAAATTAAGGATTTTAAAAGTAAAAATTGCTCAATCATAGCTATAAATCAAGTGCAACAGCCGTAATACTTTGTTGTAAATCATTTCATATTGACGTACAAAAATAAGGCAATTTTTTAAAATTTTATAATTAAATAATGATTTAATATATGTAACCAACTGAATTTATTCACTAGATTTAACCGCTTGAATGCAGGTAAATTGTTAATGTTAATTTTCTGTTAATTGTAATATGGGTTTTCCTCTTCAGTGGGTCGGATTCACATTGTACTAACTATTGACTTTATCCTCAGAATTACCCAGTAAATCAAGAGTTCGCTGTTAAATATGGAATGTTTATCTGCAGTATCAGCATAAAGTAGAAAAATCTTAGAAAAATGTGGTAAACAGAAATAATTATATTTAAATAATGCCTGTATATGGTAGTGGATAACATTGACAAACAGCAATTTCATTTCAGATCTGTCACTTGTTTTTTTACTAACTTTTGGCCTCCAAGTCCAAAAAAAAACCTCAGTTTTTTATTTATCACGTCACATTTTTAAGCTACAGGAACAAATAGCTTTTTAAGTTACTGAGTTAGGATATCATCTTTTTGTCTCAAAATTCTATACAAAATATGTATATAAAGGAAAACATACCAGATATACTGTTCACAATAATTTTAATTATATAAAAGCTATATATGTAGTTGTTTCAAGTTAAATCCCCCCCAATGGTAAACATACATACTAAGGTAAATTTTTTTTTTTCACTTATAACTTTTTTCTGGAATGTTTAAAATGTAGACATTCTTGCTTGATGCTCCAACAGTATTCAGCCATCATATGTACAATCTACCTTGCCTCAATGACCTTCAAATGTTGGTGGAATCGCTCATCCTGTTTATGGGTGACTGTAAAGATTTGGAAGTTATCAAGATGACTATGCGAAAAATGCACTCTGATGCTGATGTTGCAATCAAGCATTTTGAAGCTATCCAGGCATTGCTGAACAATTTTGTTATAATTCTGTGCTCATATATTTCCAAGAAAGTCTTTGAGAATGTTTTTGAATGCAAATCAAGCATTCTTTTCCATCATTGTTCCAATGAAATGTTCATCTTTAAGAAACTGACGAATCGGTGGGCCATCAAACATATCTGCCATTAGCTTTTCAAATGATAGGCTAGGAAATGCCGAAATGAGTTACTTGAAACAGTCTCTTTCAAGTGTCTAAGCTTTAACATCTTGAGACCCAGTTTTATATGCAGAGATGGAAATATAATACATATTTAAGGTCAACATAAGGTCATCCATTTGTGCTTGTAATATCATTCCATCAAATCAGTGTTTCTCTTTATGTCTTCATATTTTTCACACAAGCAAACTGAATAGCCTATTGGAACTGCACCAAATAAATTTCCATTGTGGTGGAGGACACACTTCAAGTTTCAATTTGAGCTATCGATGAACAGTCACCATTGAGTTGTGTTATAAGCAGAAATTCCCAACTCTTAAACTGTGTATGTGATGGCAATACACAAATCCATCATCACTTTGGAAGTATTGCAGAAACACACTTTCTCTTGGTCGAAAGTAGTTTTTCTCGTGCAGTCTTGATGCTAACAGCTCTCAAACTTATGTGGATAGGCCCAAATCTTGTGCCAAATCATTCAACTCTTGCTGTTCAAATGCCTTTTGAGTGGGATCATTGTTGATGTGAGTATGATATTCACCGGAATCCTATTCTTGTAAATTCTTTGAAAACTGGCACTGGGAGTTCAGCTGACTGAGGCACTAGGTATATAGCTGATGGTGGTAAATAGGATACTGTATTTTACATTTCTTTTTCTTGTTATATCCTGTTATCTTTTTATATCCACTATACAAAAGTAACAATTACTTGAGTTATCTTTGGGCTTTCGCCAAATCATAGGTATACCAAATGGAAATTTAGAACATGTTCCCTTCATCCATATCTGTAAACTCTCGATGTACTGCTTGCACACTTTGTTAAAGGCCCATGATTTTCTTGGTCACAAATATTCACTTTAAAATAGGCTTGCCTGATAAATCTACTTATGTTTGTTCTTTGCTGGGGGTGGTAAGACTGCCACGTATATAATAAAACGAATCGGGGCTGTTAAAGCACGTATAGCAGATTAGCATAGGCAGACATGAGGAAAAGTTTCAGTTCATTTATAAACAAAAACTAAACACTGCTAACTGTGTATATAAACAAGAACTCAGATGCAACACTGGAATACACTTCACTATATCAGAGTGACACACAACATCTCACTACGTATCTCAGGCATAACTGAACTAATCTAAACAAGTATGCACCTGTCGCTAGTCTTTGATGCTGACACCATTCACCCAACACCAGTCGGAAGTCAGCCAGTAGGAGAAGTGCTATTTCCTGTGATCCACACTTGATGCCTTAGAGAGTGTTCATATTCACAAATGGCATAGAGAAAAAATTTGACATGGTAGAAAACTTAACTATGGTTTTGAAATGAGCATGCCTATTTAACTTTAAAATTGCTCAAAAATTGAATTCAACAGAAATTGTGTTACAAAATTGTTTCCCAGTATAATAAATAGAACTAGGTAATAATAAAAGAAATACCTTTTTTATTTTCTGGTCCTTTATAAATCCTGACAGGGGAAATATGTGTAAAAGTCCATTCAGCAAGAGTATTGTTTTAGAAAATGTGTCATTTAGTCATACAGACAGTGGCATAGTCAAGAATTGAATCATAAACTGCATCAAAATACACATGTTTTTAAATATTGTTTTTAAATATATAAATTTAATTTTTATAAGTAGGTAATATATTTGAATAATTAATTTTATGTCTTCTGAAGTTTAGTTTAATTCTAATAATAAACGTATTGGAGTTGTACATTTTTGATTGAAATCATTGAAATTTAGCATACTTAATTTTATTCTTAAAAATTTTTAGCACAATCAGAGAGATCTAGAGAGTGCAACAGAGACATTGTCTGAATATCTAGAACGTGATATCACACAGGAGAACCTCCTAGATATCAAGCAAAAGGTTCAAGATAAGTATAGGTACGAACCTTCATTTTTATAATATTATTTTTTGGATATTCAACAATATTTTACAAACATTCATTGAAGAAAGATTCAGTACAGTATCCATCGCTTATTAAAATCACTTCCATCCCAAACATATTTATTAAGCAGCTGAGTTTAATGGATGGCAATTTGTGTTACAAATTATGATATGAGTTGTAAACTTTGACATAAAATAATAACTAATAGTTAATTTAGTAATTAATTCTAAAATAATAATTAAAAATTAGTGCTAAAATTAAATTAATTATGCAATTTTGAAATTCACTTTTTAATAAAAAAATATTTTTTTAATTACCTTTTTGATTAAATATTATTTCTTACAAACAGCTGTTCTATCTCTCTTTGTTTCATATTGTTCCACAACAGTTTTCAAATGTTTTCTTAATTTTGCAAAAACCTCTGGTCACATTTTTGATCAGCACCTTTTAATTCAAGGTTTATTCTTAGAATATAGTGTATTTCTAAATTTGATTGATGTTGGCATATCATCACTTATTCTGTATAACTTTATCAGTGTCTGCAGTTCTTACAACATATTATTGTGGAAGTGTTTTACACAAGTTGTTTCAATATTTTTGAAAATTGACACAAATTATAAAAATGAATCTTCATAACTTCCCTCACTGATGTCTCAATCATTAACTATAACTTGCATTTAATCTGAGGCTTATCCATACGCATTTTCGAAAAGAATTTTAAACTAATTTTAAGACATTTAATCCCTTGCATTGACTGTAATATGCAGAGTTAGTAACTTGCTTATCTCCTTCAAAGTGCTTGCTTTTCACAAAATTCAATTCTGTTCAACTTTTCTGTAATGACATTTGAAAGCTTTTATAAATACCCTTGTCTAAAGGCAGAATGCTAGATGTTGTATTTGCAGATGGTGATGTAACACAGTAACTCATTTTTTCATTTCCTAAAACGACTGCTGTTTCACTGTTAAATATTAATGTGTTGTGGATAATGTTCTGTAATGCAGTCCAGTTCTGTCTACATTATAAATTTGTAGTTTGTATTAATTTATCAGCCCAAGTAAAATGTCATTTATTCAGGTACATGATAATCTTTCTCTTCTTCTCATCATGCAATTGCTGATAAACAATGATGGATTTTTCTTTCACCAATTTGTGAGCCATCTGTCAGCAGATACAAAATTTTTTCGTAGCATTTAGTGAAAAAAGCTCCTGAAACACTGTTTAGTTTTATAAATTAAAACCATTCTGGAAAAGTAGTTTTAACTTTTTTTGACTTCCTTTTTCATGTTTCCTTGAGGTATTTATATTTTTTATCAGTTCTTTATTAATTATAATCCCTTATTAAAGCAAATTACACAGTGCTGCTTGGGAAATTCTGTGCTTAAATGTTTTCCTGTGGCTGCAATTATTACTAGTATCAAAATCTTTTAACAATTTATCTTTTTCTTAAGTCCTTTTGCTTGGCATTTTTTATGTGAACACACAACAAATTAAAAGGATGCTTCTTCCAGTAATTTATTGAAATTTCAAAATTTGGGTTTCTGGCCAGCAGATAGCTAGCCCATTATGCCTGGTCTAATCTGCATCTTCAAGATTATAGGCATGACCAATGATTTCTTTGCTTCTTCTACAGCCTACAGTTTAAGACATTCAAAGACTATAAATGTATAGCAAATATTTTTTGTGACTCTCAGTGAATAAACATAATGAGTCTATCCCAAAGAGAAGATTTTGAGTATGGAAACTCTAAAAGGTGGAATGCATAAGTAGCATCACCACTTTCATCTCTGCTGGTATTCGAGGAGAAGCCCTCTGTTAACTTTAAGATAAGGAAGCTTTGTCCCATTGAGTTCAGTGTGGACAAGAACTCTGAAAACAGTATCTCAAGTATACAGGGACCAGGTTGTAGAAAGTTTTTGGTCAAACCCATTTTATTTTAATATTATAAACCTGAATGATAAAGCTATGGTCCACAGTATCTTAAACAAATGAATTACTAAAAGCTTTGATAGTTACAAATAAGATATTTTGCCTTGAATAATTAAGTCATTCATCGCATTTATCACTAAAAGTTTGCCATTGGCTTTTAACATACTTCCTGATAATCTGTCATTCAAATTTTGTACACATACTCTTTATGGGTGGCAGTACAATGTGGTGAAGTGATTTCCCCCCCCCAATTCTATCTATTTATTTTTTTCCCTGTTTTTATATTTAATGTTTAAACAAATTTTTATGCACATCTTCATTAATGAACAAGCTAAAAGTCTTAGAAATTTGCTGTTTGCATCATCAAATAAAGTGAAAAAAAAATGTAAGTGAAATTTGTATCAAATTTTTAACATAATTTTGGATTTTTTGAGTGAATTTTTTAAAATCACTAGATTTTTTCCCCAACTATTTAACATCTATGATTTTAAAATTTCAACATCTGAATATATATTGGTTGCAAGGTTTTTGAATTTTCATGGTTTATAAAACTAACTTTTGCCCTCTTTTAAAATGAATGATAAAAAGGGTTTTAAAGTTTAGGATTTTCTACACATTTTTAAAAAATGTGTGAGTAGTGTGAAATGGAATTGAGAAGCATTGCTTCTTGTTTCAGCATTGCTGTGAAACATAGTTCCAAGGTTATGATGCCATTAGGTAACATTTTGTTTCTTGCTCCCATAGTGTAAATGAAGTTTTGTAACAAAGTTTCTGGTTTTGTGACAAAATCGCTGGATTGTTTCGACTATTTGACATAACAGAATTGTTGGAAGTAAAAGGTGTTAATTATTCATTGCTGCTGAAAAATGATTTTCAATTGAATAATATGATTGATAATGTGGTATTGAGACTAAAAGAATGAAAACAAAAATCATTCGTGAACTTAAAGAAGAATAATTTATCTTATAGTGTAATGGAAAGAAGAGATTAAATAATTCTCTTTACAAAATTCATTTACGGTTTTATAAGACGAATAATAAAAGCTTAGGTACCTAAATAACGAAATCGAATTGTCAAAAATATAAAACTTCAAATTAATAAATTTAGTAAGGGAGGCCAACAAATTTATTGCTCGGATGGATGGATTTTCAAAAAGGAATTAAACTAAAATAAATGAGAATAAAACTTGTTTTCATTAAACTGTATCATAAATTATTTTCTTCTAGTTGCTCAGGGTTTCTTAAACTGTGGGTCAATACCCCATTGGGAGTTGCATACCTACAGCACCGGGTCGCCAAAAATTTTAGCAGTTTTGATATTTCTTTAACATATTATAATAGTAATTGCCAAATATTTTTACACAATTTAACTGAAAATAGATAAAGAAAAAACGAAAATGTTTTGACGCATTCTTTTTTATAATATAAACGTTCATTTTTCTTGCTTTGCACGGGACGCTGTCATTTCGTCTGTTACTTATTTAAAATTCTCACATTGTTCTATGTCTTAAAATTAGAAATTAAGGTTAATGACCTAAAACTGCAATAGTATACAGTACAAAGTCCGTAATCCGGACTCGTCGGGACTTCGGCGATTCCGGATTAAGGGTTTTCCGGATTATAGAACATCAATTTAAATCTGGTAAGATGGCAAGCAGAAATTATACAATTAAAAATATGAAACTGTAATTTATGAAATAAAGAGCAATTATGTTGTAAAGGTTATCAAAATTTACAAGAAAAGCTTAATTTTTATTTGTTTACTTTATTAAACATTTTCCAATGTAAGTTGCTTCGTTTTTTTGCGCTAAACGCGCATGCGGCTTTGAGGTCCGGATTATAGATCATTCTGTATAATGGATGTCCAGATAACAGACTTTGTACTGTATTACAGTACAAGTGAAAACACTGACATTTTCACTCATACGTTTGTTGGATTTGCGCAGTACTTATGGGGTCCTGGGCGTCGCAAAAAAATATGAGTTATAAAAAGGGGTCGCGACTGAAAAAGTTTAAGAAACCCTGTAGTAATTATAAGTTTAAAATAAAAGCTAATATATAAATTTAAATCAAAGTTTTCATTTTTTTCTGTTAAAAATGTAAAATAGTTACAAATTCAGGCATAATTTTATTAAATATTTTAAATGCATGTTTTACTAGTACTGATGTATGAAATAAAGCACAAGGACTTTTAGATATGGAAAAAATTATATTGTGGTCTTTCCTTCAAAAAGCATTTTTATTAACTATGTGACATACGAAGTAGTATTTTTGTAGCTTTTTTAATTCCACTTTTTTTTTTCTCCCCTCCTCCCTTTAGGTATTGTGAAAGTCGGTGCAAAGCCTTGCTTGAACATGTCCATGAAGGTTATGAGAAAGATTGGTGGGAGTACATTGACTGAGATTTGAGTCCAAACTCTTCAAAATTCCTGAAAACTCAAGTTATGGGATGAAATTGATGAATGACTCACCGAGACCCCCACGTCCAAAAAATTTTTTCTGTAGGATTATATTACTGCCACGGACAATAAACTTAAAACTGTATATTTGTGTATGTGTGCTGAAATATGAAGGATAAGCCATGTATCAGAATAAATTTTTAACTAGTGAGTATCATTTTCAGCCATGTTGGGAGAAAAATTAGAGGCCTCTTATTTTGGCTTCATTAAGATTGTTGAAATAGTTATAAATAATTTTTATAATACTTATGTATGAATGTTATGAACTCCAAGAGAAAATGGTTCAAGCCATATTTTTCTTAATCCTTTCTAATGTTCATTGAGATAATGACTAATCCATTTTTTTCTTACAGTAAGGGGCCATTTTGTTGCAATATATGATTTGGTAAAATATATTATGGTTCTTTTAAATTTTGTATCATTTATTTATTTTCTTTGCTCATAATTTTTCATCCTGGTAATAAAACATACAACTTTGAGTTAATAAGCATGCATTAAATTTAGAATGCCTTTATGTTTTTATAAACTGGACGTCTGGTTTTGGTGCATATGGTATATGCCTTGAAGTTAAGGCTATTTTTTCCTGGCACTGTTATTTGGTGTTTTGCCATTGAGGGTGGCAAATATGAATTAAGATCTTTAACTTTCCCAGTTTTCTTCAGTGAATTTTTCCATGTGTATAAAGCATGTTAGTAGTGCTCAGTCATTTGCAATGACTTGTTTAATGGCTTGTTATTGAAAAAAAAATGTAAGCTGTGATTATAAATGTTTCATTTTTTATGGCATGGAACCTTTCCCCAATTTCATTTTGAAATGTATTTTTAATTTTAATGCTTAAGTGAGCGAGGTGCTAGGTACTCATGAAGTGGTGTCAGCTGAAGAGATATATGAGTAAATTAGTATGGAAACATCCTCTATTGTTCCATGTGTATGTACCTAACAAGTGAAAAATAATAGATGTAGAATTTTAATTATATGAAGACAACTGTGTTGTGGAATGTGCTGACAACCAAAGGCCTGGTGAAGACTCCAACGAACCATCTTGTTCTGGAGTGTACAAAAGTTGTAACTAAAGCTGACTATAATAAAAACTAATCTAAAAATAAAGCTTTTATTTACAAAGTATTTGTTTTATTTTTTAATCAGAATGCAGATTTTTAAATGTAAATATTTTTCCATCAGTACAAATTTTTTTTTTTTTTTTTTTTGGATGAAAATATATGAATTTTAATGCTTCTTAAATGATCATTCATCTACTGTCAATTGTTATAATGAATCATCTTCTGAGTTTTGCATTCCTTTATTTAGCTTCCTATTGTTTTCTCTCACTGTCGCATCTTTATATATATACGTAATTTGAAATTCTGCATTATGAAAGAGCAATCAGCACAACCTGTATTGTGAATATTTGTGGCATTCCTTTCAAATAAGAAATTTTATTTTCAGTTTTATTACAATTGCCTTTTATATCTAAATGAGCTAACATTAAATTTCAAAAGTTCAAATATCTTGTAATCAAACAATAATTTCACATTTTCTCGAATTTCATTTATTTTATTTTAAAAAAGCATTTTTCAAATACTAGTTGAAATGCAGTAAATGGAAAATGAGTGATGTATGCTAGTCACCTGATTGTATTGCTACATGAAGATGATTTTTATTTTCTGTCTTTTAATAATACAGTAATATAATATAATAATATAGTCATCAAATGTGTATATATATATTATATATTAAGAGGAAAGCAAAAGTAAAAATGCAATACATAACTGACTTTAAAATTTACTTAAAGCTGCAGTAATATAAATTAGTTAATACAGATTTAGATTTATTTATTTAAGTTTAAAAATAGTATTAAATAATATGGACTTCCCTTACCTAAGCTACTTTGACAACTATTACTATGCATAAACAGAAAAATAAAAATAATGAAAATGTGAGGAAAATTAAAATACACAACAAAATGGAAAAACTGAAGGCAAAATGGAATATTTACATCAGATTGTAAAGGTGTGTGGATGCTGAAGTAACATCATTATTGCATAGTAATAAATAAAAAATTAACATATTTCCTTAATTTAAAAAGTAGAAGGAAAAGCAGTGTGAAAATGAAAATGTATGTTTCATTGGGGAGAGGTTTATGCAATTCCATTAGCTGCATTTCTGACATTACCAGTTTACTCGTGAAAAAAATCAAGACATTTTGAAATTCTAAGTTAAAAAGGCAAAAAACTGTGAATAAACTGGTGACTCCATCCTTATGCATCTCTAGAGTGCTTGCAAAAAAATTAAAATTCATTAAATAAATAATAATAAGCATTAACAGTGTTATTGCTGTACAAGGGATCACATAAAATTGTAAGTTTGTAATTTAAATTTCATTCCTGTATTGTAACTATTCTCGCAAAATACTCTATTTAAGAAAACTTTTTTGTTGGACATATTTACCATATGAAGTTTAGAAAATAAAACCTGTATAACTATTTTTCTTGAACACCATATTTAGATAATTATATCATACTTCCATTTGTGTTACTTGATTCCTTGTGAGTTGTTCTCGCAAAATACTCTATTTAAGAAAACTTTTTTGTTGGACATATTTACCATATGAAGTTTAGAAAATAAAACCTGTATAACTATTTTTCTTGAACACCATATTTAGATAATTTATATCATACTTCCATTTGTGTTACTTGATTCCTTGTGAGTTGAGGTTCTTGCAAACACTTTTGCTTTCATTTCAAGAAATAGAGGGGGAAGGTTTCTTGTTGTAGAATTGTATAAAATGAAGATTAAATAATACATTTACAAAGAAAGCTATGACTTGTAAAGTGTTCTTTTAAGTATTAAAGCAGACTTTTCAATGATATCTGTTATGAAACTTACTGAAAAGATCAAGCATGTAAAAAAAAAATAATTGCACAGTATGTCATTTTGTAATCACCTCTAATGTGTATAAAGTGGTGTATGGGCATGATTCATTGTTTGTTCATTATTTTGGATATTATATTTACTGTTACTAACTTCATTCGTTATTTTGGATTGGTAAACAATTTTGAATCATAAGATCATTCTACAATAAAGCACATTTCAAGCAGGTAAAATGCATGTTATTTTAGTAATGTAAAATCAGTATCACATGTAGTAGCTACTTCAATAGCACATCGAAAGAAACATTTCCGTGAATTTCCTTTTGAAATATCTGATTGGTTGAGACGTGAAAACAGTTCTTTGGGGGAAACGTATGAGGAATAGAGCTTCAAGCAAAATAGGTATAGTATGTTAGAAATAATTACACTGGATGTATTGTTGTGGCCATTCTGATATGTCTGACCTAATGAGAATGAGCTTCACTGTGTGTGAAACTGTATGTAAGTATTGGGGTGGCAATCCTAAGGTACCCTAGCTCCTCAAGGGATTGTTGTCGTAGTGAGATGGGGTAATGATCCTGGAGCCTTAGTGATCTTTCCTTTTTCAAACTCTCCTTATCTGTTCCTTTATCCATTTTTTTCTCTCGTGTGGTTTCTTTTTCGGAGGTTTGAGCTCATAGTTGAGATACTGTTACATCCTTATGTTTCTAGTTTCTCAGAAAAAGTCTAGGTGTTTGCCATGTGTTGTTACGTATAAGGCTGGAAAGGAAGTCCTGGTAGTTGGGGGGTGAGGTACTGCACCCAGTGCACTGCTTTGTCCTCTGCTTGAGATTGAAACTGGAGGCACTAGTTGTCCCTACTACACTGGTTATCATAAATTAAGGAAAAATCACGATTACTGAAAAAGTTACATGTAGAATTTAATGAAACGTACTCACAATATACAACACATAGTAAGGTATCAAATAACATAAAATGAAATTACCAGACAAATGTGGTTGTATAGAAATTAGCACATGTATAAAATGAACAAATCGAAGGTGTCAGTTTGCTATAGGAAAAGTACCTTCAATATGGAATATGATCGCCTCTAGAAGCAATACAGCGATGTGTGATGCTTTAAATTATGCGGTCTATCAGTTCCATAGGAAGCAAGAGCCGTTGCTCTTGCAAAGCAGTTGCAAGCATGACAAGGGTTTGAGGGTGCATCTTGAGAGCAGCTAAATGTCTCCCTAAAGCATCCCAAACATGATCGATAGTATTCAAGTCCGGGGATCGAGCTGGCCACTCTATGCGCATAATTGTTTCCTGTTGAAGATAATCATCTACGATGCGAGCCCTGTGTGGTCTTGCGTTGTCGTCCTGTAACAGGAAAGCATCACATATTGCCCGGCATATGGGCGCACATAAACATCAAAGATGTCATATCTGTAAATCTGAGCATTCACGGTTCCCCTTGGAAAGACATGGAGGTTTGTGCGTCCACCCAAAGAGATGCCACCCCCAAACACAGACACTGCCCCTTCCATATGTATCTCTTTCACAGATGTTTGACGGATGATAACGGGTTCTATGTTCTCTCCATATCAAATATCACATACTATCGCTTTCTAGACTAAACCTGGACTCATTTGTAAAGAGAACCGCCTTCCATTGATCAGATGTCCAGTGGACATGTTGTCATGCCCACTGAAAACGGTCCCACCTGTGGCATGACGTGAGCAGCACAAAAATGTCCGGTCGCCTCGCATACAGACCACCTTCGTGAAGCCTACGCACAGCTGATGTTGACACGAACCTTCGGTGGCTGCAGCAAGGGAGGATCTAAGAAGAGTCGGAGTAGCGGTTCTATTCCTGCATGCACATAATGTCAAATATTGGTCATCGGCGCTCGTCGTAGCAGTTGGCTGTCCTTGGCTGAACCACCTAGATGCCGAATCTGTGGTTTAAAATTGCCTCCAAAGTCTATTAAGCACAGAAGGACTCACATTTAGCCATCTGACCACTTCTGTTTGACTTTGTCCTGCCTCTAGTCTCCTAATGGCTCTCCATCGCAGTTCTGCAGGCAGATGATGCCTGGAGGTCATTGTCACGAATTGGCTATCTCAGATTTCTGATGTAACTGTCACAGTGAAATATGTGGGCTTGCTCTCACAATGAACTTTTATACTCCTCGCAGATGACGTATTCCGAAAGCAGCGCCACTAATTTGCATATCGCATTTTTATTCAACTACTCTTACTTGGCAACATATTCAAATTTTACAACAGTTTGGCTTATTTTTGAGCGAGTTATCACTATTTTTGTGATTTTTCCTTAATTTATGATAACCAGTGTAGTATCAGTCGGCTGTTCACTTGTCCTGATTATCTCAATGCCTTATTTCACTAAACAGCCAGCAACTCAGTAAAGTATATAAACTGATATAAAAAAAAAGGCTGGGGGGGACCAAAACTTAATCATTAGAGAGCATGGATTCAGACATGTAAACAGAGCCAAACATGAATATCCTAGGCATCTTCTACTCCAAAAAATGAAAAAGCAGCACAGGCGCAAGGCAATCCATTATAATGGCACTCTGTTGGTTTGAATTAAAAAGTAGTCTTGTTCATATCAAAGACTTCATTGCCAAATATCATCTTGTCCGCTTTGTAACACAAGACGCGCTTTTAAAACTTATCAGCAGCTTTGGAGGTAAAATTTTGTTAAGAAAGAGAGTATTTTTAATGATCTGTCAGTGCTGGAGTTGGTATCCAAGCTGCTACCATGCGAGTTAATATTAAAAAGTTGATTTCAGTATGTTCCATATATCTACCTCCCAATGAATGTAATGAACAGCAGGAACTGGAAGATTTAATAGAGCAGTTACCTAAACTTTATTCTCCTAGGTTATTTCAGTGGCCACAGTCCTCTTTGGGGGAGTAGAGATAAAAACCTATATGGTTGGCAGATTGAACAATTGATCAGTGATCATTCTCTCTCTTCCTTAATAGCGGAGAGCAAACTTATTTCTTCCATCCTACAAGGGCATTAATCTCGCCATCTGTTCAACATCTCTGCTGCTGTTTTGCAAAAGTCGGGAATGATCTACATAACTGTGATTTTCTTATTTTTATTAATTTTGCAGTTAAGGAAATAATTCCCATGTGCAAGCCCCCCATGTTTCCTGAAGAAAACAAACTTTGATCTTTTATCCATCTATTCAGAGATCATAGAAGACATGGTGAATAATGTAACGTGCAGTGGAATATGCATGCAATAGACATACAGTGGAAGCTATCATTGAGGTTATTATGCAAGCAGCTAAATCTTGTATTCCAATGTCATCTGCAAAATCTTTGAAATATCCTAAATAATGTTGGAAGCGACAGTACCAAGAGACTCAGTGGCAACAGAGGAAAGCTTGAGATAAATTTCACTGGTACCCCACATTGGCGAATCTCCTGTTCTTTAAAAAGGCAAAGCAGATACACGAAGAGTACGACTGCAAAACCAGAGAGATTCTTGGATATCATATGTGTTTTAATTAATAGCATCTATGCTGAGTAAGAGCAGATATGGAAGAATTAGAAAAGCTACTGGATTATATAAAGATTATTCAGTTTCCTTACAGTAAAAAATGGCCGACTGATTAGCACCACTGAAGGAATATCGAATACAGTTGGGGAGACATTTTCTGTTGTCTCTAGCTGCACCAATTATTCACTTGCATTCTCTTAAGCATTATTTAGAGGATATTCCCACTGCATTCAACTCTTCCAACTAGGAGCTATATGAGGGCGATTTCACCATGCTTGAGCTAAAAAGAATGCTGACACTTGGGTCTAGTCGGGTTTCAGGAGTTACGAAATGCTGAAGCATCTCTCTGTAAGTCATTACCTGCCCTTCCTACGACAACTGTAGATTGCTCTTAACAGGATTCAGAAATGGTCAGACAAACATGGATACATATTTTCAAAGTAGAAAACCATACGTGCACATTTTTACAAAGAGATTATCCTGAGTCTGAGTGTTATCTTCAAAGGTCGCTTATCTCAGTAATATCACAAGTACACAGAGTTTCCGAAATGTATTAGCCTTGCAAGCTATTATATATATATATATATATATATATATAGTTTTCTGGCACCCCCCCCCAACCAAAAAAAAAAAAATAAGGAAGTTTCTTAAAGAAAATAATGTAATGAAATGTTAATAAATATAAAGCAATTGATAATTATAATTTTATTTGTAATTGCAGATAAATATATGTTATTTAAATACATATTAACACTAATAAACTGCTTAATAATGCAAAAAAGAAAAACAAGATTTCAAAATTTTTCGCAGCCCATAACAATTGTCACTTGATCTGGATTTTGGGAACCCCTGGCTTATAGTAAAGAACAATAACGAGAGCCGTCTCCGTAGCTTCATTTTAATTTTTACTGAAAGTGCTCTTTTAATATTGTTGAATCAAAAGTAATTAATGGAATTAATTAAGTATATAATTTTTTCATGTGAGATTTTAAATATTAGTTGCAGCACATATATTTTAAGAAAGCTTTACCGTTTGGTCTACTTTAACGAAACTACCAAGGTGGAGTAACTTAAAAGGAACCTAGAAAAAATGATAGATTTTGTAACGTCTACGATCTAGTACAAAAAGCGTAAGGCTTGTGCTATACAATGAAATTGTGCATATGGCCTTGGGCCATTTATCGTGATACTCAATTCCTGCAGTAATGAATTGATAACCTGTATTTTAATTTTTATGCACACGTTAGTGGCTGAGAGTGAAATATAGATATTTTTCTCCCGAATCTAAAATATAGCAATAAAAAAAAAGAATTAATTTCACGTAGAGTCTCTACACTCTTCCTAATATATAATTAACTAAATATAAATCAGGGATTCCATACAGGCGGATGAAATTTTAAAGAGGGACTATGATGATTAAGGGATACATAGCCGAATACGTATTGGCCATTGATTAGTATAATAATCAAAACCCTATTCATTACAAGAAAAAGCATTAATAAAATAGATAATTAATTGTTCATTAATATATAGCTTTTATCGCATAAATAAGACAGTCTTGTCCAAAACTCTTAAGTTTGGGAATTTAAAATTTATCCGAGAGAAATATCCCAAAATAAAAGTTGCTACCGAAAAAACACTATTGATTGGGAACTTCATACTTAGTTACTAGTTAAGTTACCTAGTTACTAGTTAAGTCAGTAAGTTACA